TTTATAAAGAAGCTAAAATCATACAATGGAAGGAGGTAAGCATCTTCAACAAACGGTGCTGGCACAACCGGGTGCAGACATGTAGAATATTGCAGATAGATCCATGTCTATCACCGTACACAATACTTAAGTCCAAATGCATCAAAGACCTGAACACAAATCCAGCCACAAAGAACCTCTTAGAAGAGAAAGTGGGAGGTGCCCTTGAACAAATGGATACAGGAGACTGCTTCCTGAACATAACACCAGTAGCACAGACACTGAGATCAACAATTAACAAATGGGACCTCCTGAAATGAGAAGCTTCTGTATTGCAACGGACACAGTCAACAAGTCAAAACGGCAGCCCACAAAATGGAAAAGAATTTCACCAACCCCACATCTGACAGAGGGCAGATTTCCAAAATATAAAAAGAACTTAGGAAGTTAGTCACCAAAACAGCAACTAATCCAATTAAAAAACTGGGGTACAGAGCTAAATAGAGACTTCTCAATGGAGGAATCTGAAATGGACGAAAAACACTTAAGAAAGTGCTCAACTACTTAGTCATTGGTGAAATGCAAATCAAAACAACATTGAGATAACATCTTGCTCCTGCCAGAATTTCTGGGTAAAATTAGAAACACCAATGACAACTTTGCTGGAGTGGATGTGGAGAAAGGGGAACACTCCTCCACTGCTGGTGGGAGTGCAAACTTATACAGCCACTTTGGATATCAGTATGGCAGTTCCTCATGAAAATGGAATCAGTCTACCTCATGATCCAGCAGTTCCACTCTTAGGCATATACCCAAAGGTTGCACATTCATATAACAAGGACATCTGTTCAACTATGTTCATAGCAACATTATTTGTAATGGCCAGAACCTGGAAGCTACCTCAATGACCCTCAACTGAAGAATGGATGAAGAAAACCCAATTTCCAACTCATTTCTTGTACTCCAAATTAAATTTCATTTAATTTTTCATGTATTCTGTTGTCAAGTATGCTTAGGATTTTGTTGCAACTCATCACCAAAGTCAACCTGTTTGGGTTCAACTGCTGCACACTTTCCAGAACACAGGGAGGAGAACTTTCAAAAGTAAAAACAATGTGTTTCTTACTCAGTTGAACCACAGAGAAGCTAGAACCCTCTTCTAGAAACAGCTGGAAGCAGATGCAGAAATCCACAACTACCCAATGGGTCAAGCTCCTGGAGTACAATAAAAATGAGGGAGGAGCCAAAATATGAACAAATGAGTCAAGACCATGACGGGGAAACCCACAGAATCAGCTGATCCCAGCTAGTGAGAGATCACTGACTCAGGCCTGACAAATGGGGAACCTGCATAAGACTAAACTAGACTCCTAGTGGTATGACTGGGACAATATATGAGCCCAATGGCAGTGGTCCAAGATCTAACTCTAATGCACAAACTGACGTAGAGGATCCATTCTATATGAAGATATCCCTTGCCCAGCCTAGACACAGGGGTGCGGGGGTGGAAGGGTTCTTTTGTCCTCCTCAATGAGATGATGGTACAGACTTAGTAGACTTCCTAGGCAAGGCCTTACCTCTCCATGGAGCAGATGGGAGGAAGGGAAAGTGGGAGGAGGGGGAGGAAAAGAAGGAAACTGGGATTGGACTGTAAAAAGTAAATTAATAAAAAAAAAGTAGAGATGGGAATACTGATAAAAGAACTATATATATATATATATATATATATATATATATATATATATATATGACCCAATCATTCCTTCCTCACCAGGAAAGATCCACTATTGCTTTAACTTAATCCTATTGAAGAAATATAAAATAACAAATGAAATAAATAAACTTGAAAGAGAAAGAGAAAAAGAAAAAGAAAAAGAGAGACAACATCTACATTCTCAGAAATGTCTCCAGAGCCCCTGCATACACATTTGTGGGGAAGAAACCAGGTGAAGAGACTACCTGTGTAGTGGTCTTTCCTGGAGCAGTGGCCACACCCCTTTGGGCACAACTTCAGGCAGACAGAAGCAGAAAGAGAAAGAGGAAAGTGTAAGGCATGGGTCTTTCTGGTGGGTCAACTGATCCCGTAAGAAAGGCAGGGAAACAGTTCTTTTATTTTTCTGTGTAATTGTTCTCCAATAAACACCCATGTATCATTTATCTTGGGTTTAGTGAAATAATTACATCCTTGTCTTCACTATGTGTGTGCTTCATTGGTATATCTGGGTTCAAGTACCTGTTTGCATATATATGCCTTTAGGCTGTTTAAGATAGTGTATCAGCTGTGTACATTCTCTGTGTGTGTGATGCTTATGTGTACATTTGTCTGAATGTATTTGTGGGTAATGATGAATGAGTGGCCATGAGCAAATGTGGTATGTGTGTGTGCGTTTGTGTGTGTTGTTGTTGTTGTGTTAATAGAAAAGAAGGTGTTAAATATTCATTTTAAAGTTAAATTTTCTTGGGGCTGAGACATATTTTAGTAAAATGTTGGCTGTAAAGCAGGGAGATATGAGTTCAGTTCCTCAGCACCTACATAAAGGGCTGGGCATGATCTACTAAGAGCAGACATCTGGATGTGTCAGTGGCCATGTCAGAGAAACAGCAGATGGCAGTTGACTTCAGGGAATCAGCCCACTAGGAAACAAATCCCCGATGGATGAATCTTAGATAGGCAAGGCCTCAAGACCACAAACTCCAGAATTTCTTCTGCTTTTGCTGTGCCTTAACATGTTTGCTGCTGCCATTTTTCTCTGGTATCTGGCATGGTGTGAATAAGTGTGTGGAAATCTCCACTGCTTAAAATGCAGTATGACCATCTCTTGGAAATAACCCCTTCTATTCGGCATTTTTACCTGTGGATTATTGTGAAGATGATTTCTTCCTAAGCTGTACTGTTTAACTGGAGCAATTACTTTATATAGTAATAGTGTTAGTTTAAATAGAATTTTGATGACTGGGGGTTTATAAAAATATAGTAAGGGATTATGATAGAATTTTGTTTAGTGAAAAAATAACAAAGGTAAAGGTATGATAAAATGCTGCCCCTGCTTCTGATTAAGCAGAGGCTGCAGAGCATCAAAAATAAAACAAGGAGGTGTCACACAACTAGAACACATGAACTTCTATTGAGGAGCCCTATAAACAGTAGCTCAGGTTAATTATTAAGAAAAACATGTGAGTCCCAGTGGCCCAGCTAGCTTAAATTCTTTTCATCTTATGCTAGGAAATGTGATCACAGGTTTCAGAATGCATCATAACAAAAACACAGATGGTTTTTTTGTTTTGTTTTTGTGGGGTTTTTTTCAAATAGCTTTGAGGTAAAAAACACAAGAAGAAAATCTAAAGTTTTATAAAGGCACATATTTGAATGAGGAACTCTCTAAGGTCAGGAAATAAGAGCAAAGCAGCCCAGTTATTGGCTGACAAGTCTCTTGCTAGAGTTGGCTGATGACCAACCCATTTCTACCCTCAATTTTCTGATATAAAAAACTATTAATGAATGGATATGTTCCCTAAAGTTTAATGTAGAGGTGACTGATTAAATTTTTCATATATAAAGGTTTAGGTTTGGGATTCCTTTAAGACTCTTTATAAGATTATCTTTCAAGATAAATAATAAAGTGATTGATTCTTTCTTTGTAACCACAATATACAGCCTTCCAGTAAAAAATAAATGGCTGATAAAATAGCCTGCTTGATCACACTCTGGTAATTTATAACAAGTTATAAAGATTTGGGTTCTTGGGATGACTTTGTTTTAGTTATATAAAAGAAATGAAAATTATGTTTTTACCTGTGTTCATGATAATCATTCACTTGAAAATAGAATGCAACCACATTGTAATTCCTATATTGCTTGAAAAACTTTGTTGGGAAAGAATGAAGGAACAAAAGCATCAAGAATGAGTGAAGGATATAATCAGGAAAATCATGAAAAGAGAATAGAGAAGAAGAATAAAAAAGGAAGTCATCAAAAGTGTGTGTATGCCTTTTCCCTTACCCCCTTGGATAAAAAAGTCATAAGATTCAGACTCCTTTTGAGCCCTGTGCTGCTAGAGGCTGGTCCCCATAGACAGAAAAAGAGACGATATCAAAATAGTGGATAAAAACACTTATTTAAATATATTTTGCCAAATATTAAAATTTTCATTCTTTGATGTAGTAGTACATAATTGTCATTCAACATTCAGAGAGCAGGAAACTGAGAATTATCACGAATTCAAGCTTAGCCTGATCTACATGTTGAGTTCCAGTCCAGCCAGAGATATATAGAAGTATTCAGTGTCAAAAAACAAGTTAAAATTCATTCTCATTACAAAGCCATTCAACAAAATTTTCCTGACCATCTACTAAATTACAGACACTATGTAAACAATGACTTCTTTTCTTTTTTTCTCTCTATAAAAAAAAATACAACCCATATGTGATATTTAAACCTTCATCAGATTGTTTGTTTGTACACCAAAGGAATGGTGGGTGGAGAGCCAATGTTTTAAGTGCAGCTCCTCAATACCAATTGTATGTAACCTATGGCCTATTGCTAGTACTGTATGTCCTCTACCTGTCCACATCTATAAACAGATCAGCATTTAGAAGTGACTTAGATCCAAGCACTGAAATGTTTGGTCTATCTATCTCCATAGTGAATGGACATCAACAAGCTTCTTGGAGAGCATTACTGGTTACTTGACCCACAATAGTAACTGCTACACTGTTCTCTTCAGATGGTCTATTTGAACAAATAGGTAGGGTGCCAGAAAAATGTAAAGGGACAGATAACTGCAGATACAGAACTAAGTCAATGTAGAAGAGACAGATACTCCTGTGTGGCTAAGTACAGTTTATGGAAACAGGTGAAGAGAGCATGGAAAAGACAACTTGTCCAAAAATATAGTAGTAAGCATTTCATGAGAAAATATATCATCTCAGAACACAGATCAGAGTTCTATTGTAGAAAATGACAATTTATTTTTTACCTGTTGAATCATCTTTCTCTTTTCCCTTTTCAGGAATATACTTACCATGTCAGTGTCAGACACAGGGCCAAAACTGGTCACATAGATGTCTGTCTTCACTTCAGTCACTGCATCTGAGTGAAATAAAGTAGAAAAATGGAGTGCCATGAGACAGTGTTTCCTTAGGGCAGAAAGTGCATTGCAGATGTACTTGGCAATGTAACCAGCTTGCTATTTCTGAAAAGGAACATCTGACATTGTCATATATATATACCCTTTCCCTCAAAAAAAAGCCCCACTTTTCACATATGCTATCCTGTGGTGATATATTACTTATAATTTATTAAAGCTTGCCTGAGGATTCAGAAAAGCAAGGTCAGCCTCAAGCCATAGAGATCAGGCAGTGGTAATCGCAGCAGAGGGAAGCTAGGAGGTTGTGGTACACACCTTTACTCCTAGGACTCAGGATTAAGAGGTAAATAGATCTCTGTAAATCCAAGGCCACCCTGATTTACACAAGATTGATCCAGTCCTAAAGAGAAACAGCTCACATAAAGATGATCTCAGCACCTGGGCTCACACGCCTTTAATCCCAGCACTAGAGGAGTATAAAAGATAGGAGCAGGATCTTCAGTAGTCAGTATCAGCCATTCATTCCCCAGCCACATTGAGGATAGGGTCAGGGATTCATTCTGCAGCCACATTGAGGATATGAAGACAGTCAGTTTCAGGGTTCTCTAGCCATGCTGAGAAGAGGCAGCAGGATCAGCTCATTCAGCCTGAAGTAGTAGTAAGAGCTCATGGCCGACTATTTTGTTTTACTGTTCTTTAGCTTGAAGTTTGAATCCTAGTAGTATCAGTCTCTGCGTCTTTTATTTGTCCGGTTACACTATACCTTTAAAGACTACAACTTAGGTTCAGGTGTAATTTCTACTATTTTAGATAATACTGAAAATGACATAGGAATTCCGAACATTGAAACATAGAGAAAGCTGTTAAAGACCCCTTATATCTACACCTGCTGGTCTTTCACATTGGCCTAGCTTACCTGTGGTAGCTTAAAATAGTAAAAAAAAAAAAATTCTAATGCTGTTCTGTACATAGGAACACAGGATGGTGGTACTCCCACTTCCCTAAAAACTGAAGCATGGAGTGATGGAGTAACATGGTAAATGTTTCCAGAAATAGTAAGTTGCTGGAACAATTAATATCTGATACTAGACCCTCTATGGAATGGTGAGCATGGACACAAATACACATTGGTGGGGTACTGCCACCAGACTGAGCAGTGTAGGATGATGAACCCAAGGAGGACAATTGCCTAGCCATCAAAATCTATCCACAATGGACTTTGTTAATGAAAGAGAATCTTTTATTTAGAGCTAGCTTATGCCAAATTATATGCACATGCACATATAAATTTTCCTTGATTACAATATCTGCTTCCTTGCATACTTTCTCTCTTAAATCTAGAGCTTCTGGTAGGCACCATCCATGTGTTATTTCTTAATTACTATTATTTATTATTTTATTTGCTTTTCTTTTTATTTTGTTTGTTTTGGTTTTTTGTTTGTTTGTTTTTAAGAAATGGACTCTCTGCATAGACCTGTACTGATATATTATTTCTAATTTATTAAAGTTTGACTGAGCATTCAGAAAAGCAAACTCAGCCACAAGTCTTAGAAACCAGGCACACACTTTTAATCCTAGCAGCCAGAAGCTAGAAGGTGGTGGTACACACCTTTGAAACTAGGACTAAGAATTAAGACTTAGATGGATCTCTGTTAGTCCGAGGCCACTCAGATCTGCACAAGATTGATCCAGTCTAAGAGAGAATTATATCGCATGCCTTTAATCCCAACTTAAGGGAAGTACATAAGTAAGTCAGAAGCAAGGTCTCATTCTCAAGCCACACTGGGAAGAGGCAGTAGTTTGAGACTTGGTGAAGAGCTTGAGCTTGGATTGGCCCTTCACTCTGAGCTAGAGGTGTGACCTAGTGTCTGGCAGATTTGCTTCATTGATCTGCAGCTTGAACCCCAATATCAATTCTGGGTCTTTTAATTACTCGTGTTATATAGACCTGGATGACCTGGAACTAGCTCTGTAGACCAGGCTGGCCTCAAACTCAGAGATCAATTCCCTCTGTCTCCTGAGTGCTGGGATTAGAGTGTGCCACCACAGCCACGCTATTTGCTTTATGTTTTTTGTCCTCTTTTGAGACAGAATTTCTCTGTTTGGCCCTTGATGTTCTGGAGCTCACTCTGTGGAGCAGGCTAGACTCAAATTCAGAGATCCACTTGCCTCTGCTTCCCAAGTGTTGTGATTAATGTGCCACCATGTCTGGCTGACTACCATTTATGTCTTATCCTTATTGTATAGATTAGGGACCTATTACTCAGAAGTTATTCACTGAATACTTCTCTTCATATTAATGGATAAAGCTCATCACATATTTGACAGATTATAAATAATACAATTGTCTATGCCGCTACAGAAAAATATAATTTATAAACAGTTCAACTATATGGCTCAGTTTGAAGGCTAAGAAGTCCATCATCAAAGTTCCATTAGATTTATTTGCTATCTGGTGAGAGTTCATTATTCATAGATAATACCGTCTGTATCCTCACGTAATGGAAGAAATTAAGAGAACTTGCTGAAATCACTTTTATAGAATCACTTTTCCCATTGAAGCTATACTTAATTACCTTCAAAATTCCCTAAATCCTGATGTACCTCATTGGCAATTACATGTCAACACACAAATTTAGAGACACACAAGCATTCAGAGCACAACAGATGACCAGAAAGTGATGCTATACCTTTACTGAGTTTCTCTTCTATTTATGACAGTTATGTTCATATTAGTAAAGCCCAACCAATCCATAGTTATGTCTCTCAAACACAGAGAAGAAACCAGTATAATCTATTGCAACTCAGTCAAACTCATTCAACCTACTCAAAACCTAATAGTTGTAGTAACTGAAGTCCAACGCAAGCCCAACATACCTGCCACTGTATAGGGCACAAGGGCATTGTACTGACGAAGAAGCACTAAGAGAACCAAGAATGTTAAACACACAAGTGAGTCTCCTCAATGGAGAAGATAAAATAAAAACCTGCATTCCATGCAGAAAACTGAGAGTGGAGGTTATTAAAAGACCTCTTGACCTTTTTGTTATCAGAAGGGTTAGACCTCACCCTAATTCCACAGAATGGGTATCCCAGACTCTTCCCTCCCTAGACCACTGCCCACCACTGGGTATTACCCATCATTGGATAGTTTGTCCAGAGTTCTTTGTAAGAGTATCTGTGTCGTCATACCATTAGCTTTATCGTGCACCTGAAATTTGACTGATTGTTGCCTGGGAACATTATCCCAAATTGTACTGTGCTGACAATGAACTTTCTGGTACTAAACTCTCTGAAGTCTGATCTAGGTTAAGTACATCAATCTGCAACAGGCTTTCATTCTTATCTCTTTGTGTGTTTCTCTTCCATTCCTAACACCTGCAGGGAACTCCTCATGACACCAGTTGACATACTACAACACAGATAATATATATAAAAAACATATACAAGATTTGGCATATAAGTATATGTACACACACACACATACGTTCCAGTTTTTGCAGTCTATGTTAGTATTTCTTTACTCTTTACTCTTGTATCCGTGTCATATTCACTCTGTTCACACAGTCATAGATTATGACCCAAATATAATTTTTGTATTTACCTTCCACTTGTCAGTTGATTTGTCTTTCTCACAAGCCATCTCTAAGGCTTAATATAGTATGTCTCCCCCAGGGTAGTGGTGTGTTCTAAATTCTCAAGGCCACTGCATTCACCCCAAATCATTCTATTTTCAGAAGTCTCTAAGTATCATTTAATAATAAAGACTACAATCAATTTACCAAAAGACACAGTTTACTCTCAAGCATAATAAACAAAACATGACTCTGAGATTAGAGCTATGTTTTAAACAGTTGGGCTCTCATTTTGAGCACAGTCTTCTTTTAAAACTATCTCTTTACTTGGATGAGCAGAGACTACACCCAACAACCAATGATATGGTTCCTGAAAGTGTGCCCAAAGAGATTCGTTGGCTGGTGAAGCAAATACCTATGCATCTACGGTATCGCACAGTTATCTCTGATTTCTTTATACCTAACTACATTAAACAAAATAGATTAATAAACAAAATGCTATACAGTTACATTTGAATCCAACATTGGGCAAGGTATTTTCAGAAACTGAAAAAAAAATTTGTATTAATATAACTGCAAAACTGAAAGAGTCATGCAGAATTCCAACAGAGGAATAATCTTACATGAAAAAGAGATAGTGTAGAATATCTCAAAAATGACATTGTGGTAGGCCTGGATATTTAATATGAAGTGACCAAGAAAGTTCTCCCATCTGCATCCCCTACTTTGACTGCAGCCAAAACCATTCTAGTTCCCAATAATATGTGAGAAAGGTAAAGTGACATGAAAGTGCTCTAATTCTAAGGAGATAATGAAATCATTGTGGCTATGACAGAGTCTAGGTGAATTGAAAAGCTTGGGTTTTATAAGTGAAAAGAGGAAATAATACTATGTAGAGAATTCAAGAACAAGAGTGGAAGAAAGTGAGAAAGCAAGAAAATGAATATTTTTACGAGATCAACAGAGAGGTTATGGTATTTTTGACACAGAAGCTAAAATTTCTTCATGTAGTGGGCTGTGGAGTCAGGATATTTGCTTGTATCATATAAGTGCAAGTGAAGAGAATGCTTTGAATTTATGTTATCATTCTTAGTCCATTGGCCTAATACACCAAACATGTGTAAACACAAAGATATTTTCTCAGGTGTTCCACACAGGGCCCATCACACAGCTTGTCTCATTTTCTGCTTAAGAAATCTAGTGTCCTTGAAGCATGATACCTGAGAGTATACAGAACCTGTATAAGAGTAACACAGTGACTAGTTAGATTAGAATTTAGGTTCTATTAGTTCTCTTGGCAGGGTTTTTGTTATTGAATGACGTATGTATCTTCTTGGCCATCTTGAAAATTTGAATGCTAGTATCTACATCAGCATGGCTTTGAGGTTTTAAAGATTGTGTGTAAGCCAGTGGTAGACAGATTCACT